TAAAATTATTTATCTTGAAACTCTTTCCATCTTTTTTCATAGTACTATTTCAAGGTTAGATGCAAACTGCACGCATGCTGGAATTTGTTTTTTGCTACTTTCCATCAAAATTAATCAGTAAATAATCTTTGACTGACTGCAGTGAAAAACCAAATTCCAATGGGCAACTCTCAACTATTGCATTTCCATGTTATTGAAAATTGCATAACAACTGCAACACCTGCAGCACTTAGTGTAGCCTTCCCATATTTCTAGAATGACTAATAAATGTAGAGTCAATAAAAATGTAGACTGGGGTGCTGTATGTACTTACTTTCCAAAGAGATTTGATCTTCTTTCTTCTTGTTTTGAATTTGTATTTACACAGTTCACAGTACTGATTGCCTGACTTTGAAATCCAATTCAGTACGCAATTCTGATGAGCATATTTAACAGTTCCCATACACCGACATGTAATCATTAGATTCTCCTCCTCCTCGCCACAGTGACAGATCCGACACATGATTCCRGAGCTGTCATTCAATCTGTTATAGCTGGTGGAGGATCCTGGTGAAGTCAATAAAGACTCTGTTTCAGATGCCTTCACTTCAGCATGATCAGAGTCTGTGAGAAGTGGAGGTTTTTGAGTGCTTTCCTTGGGTTCACTATCAGATGAAGATGATACAATATTCGGTCCTTGATGAATACATATGTAGCTATCCCTATCCAAAGTTATGTCTGATCTTTTGATCTGTGATACACTGCTAACAAATGAGTCTTCTAGAGAGGATTCTAGAGAGTCAGTTGAATGTCTTGTAGATTGGCAAGTATTTTCAGACATTTCTTCTACACTACCAGCACAATTAAGTTGTTCAATGGAATTTTTATTGGAGTCCATTTCTGGTGAGCAACTGATCTGCAATAGAAACATAAAAATAAATAAACACCCAAGCACATGAATGAATAGATGGATAGATGGGTAGATTGGTGTAGAAGAATGAATGATTAAATGCATGAATGAATGAAGTGATGGATGATGTGATGGAAGGAAGGAAGAATGTCTGAATGATGGTCTGAATGGATAGATGAACAAAGGGATGGATGAAATGATGGACTGATGGATGAAGTTATTGATGAAGTGATGGAATGATGGAAGACTGATGGTCTGAATGGATAGATGAATGAATAAAGTGATGGATGGATGCATGGATAGAAGATTAGAATGAATAAATGATTAAATGGATGGATGAATGGATGGACTGTTGAAGTGATAGATGGATGGACTGACAGACAGATAAAAGAATGAATGGATAGACTGAATGGATAGATGGACAGACAGATGGATGGAAGAAAAATGGAAAGAAGGAAGAAAAGGAAGAAAGAAAGGATCCTTTCATTCATCCATTCTTATAATTCCAYGGATGACATTTCTTGCATGAAAAAAACGGTTTGAAAACATAGCAATACTAGATTCTTAATTTCAACATCAAACATTGAGTGTAGTATTTCCTGTGTCCGTTGTCTGCGATGCAGATCCACGAGTTAGCATCGTCTCTTTATCCTTCCTCAATTTTCCAAAGTTTTTCTTTTTTTCCATTTTTTTTTCTTTTCTTTTCTTCTTCAAAAATGTTCATGTCGAATTCGTTATAAAACAACGGCCTTTTTGTTTGCCGCTTTTCTACACAATCCAAATATGGAACTGATCATACCATACATGGAGTGAGCTTTCTCTACTTTAACTTCGACACTAATATATAGAGTAAAGAATGATATGTACACGAACAACCGATTTCRTACAAATTTTAAAGATAAAATTATGAGATAAGCAAGAAGAAATTGCTAAAAGCAAATCTTTGGATCGAAAGTTAATATTGATTAAGTATATCATGGTTACTTTCCTGTTTTGTCTCAACTGTTTTAGACATCCCATTCTCATTAAATTATTTCTTCTTCACTGGTAAATCTTGCCAAGTGATGAACAACACAACCAGTATCAAGTAACAAAATAAAAACTAAATGAGATAGCCTTACCTGTATTCCCAAAGGACTATGCGCATTTGAATGATGAAACACACTTCTATACATTATATAGTCTAGCCTTAATTCGATAATAGGGCATTTCACGGATYCCGTTACTCAACCTCAGCCTCGTCAGCGTGTAATAATTTATTATTCTTTAGAATTTGACTACAGTCCGCAGTAATGAAAGGAATTTACACATCAACGAACAATTGAATCACTTAAAAATTTCACAGGTTGTAGGCAATTTCTAAAGAATATATTACACGCTGACAAGGCYGAGGTTAAGCCGCGGAATCTCTTTCTTCTGCACAGGCTTCATTTCATTTTAAATTTGGTTGATGTAATAATTAAAATCAGAATATATAGAATGTTAWTTGAATTTGAATGCATTTCTTTAACAATATGTAACTAGGGATTATGTAGATTTCGTATAAATACTCAGGTGATTATTGAAAATCGTGCTGATTGGTTGAGAAACTCACACTATCACACGATAATCACCTCCAGCAATATTCCAAAATGGTGGCCAGCCACTTTGTTGCTGTTACATGGGAAAAATTTGTCTTTTATCTTCTTTCCTCCTTTTGAAACTCGTCTCACCTGTGTATTTATACTAAAACAATTATTCACCTCATGCTCCGTGAATATCGGGAATAAAAACCTCAACTTTGTTTTGGTTATTATTCCCCGATATTCACTTCGCCTTCGGCAAATAATTTTAAATAGCATCATGATGATAACTGGTTTGGTTACCAATGTACTCAACTTTTCTATGCTTGAACAGGCACAGTATAACAAATGAATTTAATATAATGCTATTGACTGTGAGACCTATCGTTAAGAGTCTTATATATAAGTGTTTTTGGCTTCCAGCCTGATGCCCAAAGCTCACAAAAAAATCTGCATAAGAATTACAATAATCATAATAATTATTTATTATTTATATACACTAGTAATCTTAAAGCTCTATAGGCCTTAACAAGATAAAAACTATGAAAATGAACTACAAAAAAAATATCCATRAATAAATATTAAACTGGAAAAATAAAAGAATCTAAATATGAAAAATAGAAGGATATAAAACAAAAACAAACTAAAAGAAAATTAAATTGAATTTCCTGAGCTTTCCAGGCATGGGGTAATGTATATGTAATCTAGTATACATTCTTTCCAAAAAATATTAGGTCATATCCTAAAATAAGCTCAAAGACAAATGTTTTAAAAATGATTAATGATTAAATTCAGTTTATCCTGAGGTATAGTAAAATTTTCACTTTTTAAATTATTTTAAAACCAATAATATTAAAAAAAGCAACTTAAGAATCAAAAATCTTAAGCACTCGTATTGATTCACTTTAATTTAAAAACTGAGTACTTATATTTCATCTTAACGTAATTAAAAAATATTAAGGTTTTTATGCACTCTTTCTTATTTTTTCACAAGCATATATTTTTAGCCTTGTTAGTCATCAATGGGTTTAGTATTGCGAGTTTTTATTTATTATTACTTAGCTACTTGATTATTAAATTAAATATTCAATATATACTTGAATTAGCAGAAAAACCTAAGAATTTAAAAGAAAACATGACAGCATTACCTTGAATAATTCCACAGCACAGCAATGTTGACAAGGAATACAATGTATATGCACCCAAGCTTGACAAATGAACAAATACCAGTACTTAACATGTAGCCATGGTTAAATAAAAARTATAGTAAAGTTGAGAGGATTAGATGAAATAATTGCAGAGTTCTATGAAATCATGTTTAACAGACTTTCAAATTTATTAATAAAGATTATTGCATATGCCTGGTTAGTGCAAACCATTTATATACTTCAAAACATGCAGAGGCCTGCATCAACATCGAAACGACGTATAACAAACAACAATACAATCAGATGAGGTCATCAAATCTAACATCAAGATAGGTTAACATGACAATTCCAAATAAGTATACTAGTATTACATTCAATATATTTATCATAAATATACCCCCCCCCCCAAAAAGAAAAATCAAAATTAAGTTTTGACCCAACCATGATCAGAATAAATCATGTGTATACAAGCCCTCAGAATTATTGTCACAAATTTGGAATTAATTTGATAGTTAAACAATGGTGGAAAAATGTCATTTCTAAATTTATGCCTTTTCATAAAAGGTCTATAATATTAAGAATTTAAAAGAGAGACTATAGGTATAAAATAAATATAGAATTTATATACATGTATTATATTTCTTCACAGCTACTGAATCTTATTACTCCAATAGAAGAGAAATTAATGTAAACCTGAACAATTTGTCTCAATATCAAACACCTTAGTACTTCATTTTGGAGACATAAGATGGAATGAAAAAATTAAAAAAAAAAAACGATTTTGGTTGCCAGCTCTCAAATAAGTCCATATTGTGAATAGATCACCCTTGGTCAATGACAGCCATAATCCAGAAATTCAAGAACATGGGAAAGGGAGAATTTTTCATTATGATTACGGCTAGTCAGCTCTCTTGACACTTTCAAAATACCTACTATATTTATAGCAATTAGAAGTGAAGAATGGTTTTCTAAGACCAGACAGACTTGTTTAATTAAATGAGATTAAAACGTGTTTAGAATGAATAACAGGATCCTATTGAAAGCAAACCTTGAGCATGGAAGAAGAGTGCTTGTCAGTAGATCTGCTGAAGTGACAGAATCTTAGTATGATTTTTTAATAAAATTTGAATAATGGTAAAACAGGAAATAGGAAAATGATATGAAATAAAAGAGGAAATGAAAAATGGGATATAAAAAAGAGAAAAGAATAGAAATCTAAAAAAAGAAATGGAAAAGAAAGAATATTAAAGAAAAGAAACAAAAACAGAAAGAAAAGATATTAAAAAAAAAACAAAGAAAAGAAGAGAAAGAGAGAGAGGACAGAGGAAAAGAAAATGGGAAGAAAAGAAATGATGAAATGATATGAAAGAAAAGAAAAACTAAATAAAGTATGATAAACCTACAAAATAACATACTGAAATCCTGAATAATTCCTTTGTTTATGCTTATGTAGGCTTATGRAAAAGTTCCCATTCCTTATGCTAACGCTTATGCTTATGCTTTGTGCAAGCCTGGTTTACACTTGTGTTTCTTACTCTTATGTTTATGCTTATGTTTATGTTAAAATGTGAACCAGCCCATAGTGTGGAGTACTGTTTCACAACCTCATGAGTGATTAGTTGTGCCAATTAATAGACAATACAACATCCATTTGGACAAAAGCCCTAATAGGGAACAACACATGCCAAGCTTCATAAGATCATCAAATATATTCCAAACGTGCACCAACCAATGTCCTAGTTTTGAAGTCACTTTTATACAGGGTTCAAAGTAATAGAGATTTGTTATATCATTTACTTATAAAACACAGCGACAGTATAAAACGTAAAAACATATTAAAAAATGCAAAAATATAATATGTATATAAACGCAACGCTCCAACGTGTGCTACAGCATCATTATCAAGCAAAAAATGTAATGCATTAAAAATGCATTTTTTAAGTATGGAAAATTCTCATTTAATGTATCCAAGCTAATGTCTTCATATCTCAATAATATGTTTACCAATAGCCAAATTCTTAGGTTCCCTAATGCATTGGTGCAGGGGATACTGTAGACTTGTTTTAAATAAAAACACAGTATGTTTCCAGGCATGTTTCGATTTATATTTTAGGGTCTGTATTGGTGTTGTTAATATCTAATTAATGCTGACATAATTAAAACTAGCATTTTATAAACTTTGTAATGCAGAGATTAGATAATATTATACAAATCCAAAAATGTATCGTTTAAAAACTCCTTTACCAAAYGAAACATCAATTGTATAACCCTGAAGCAACCTCTTGGCTGATCAAAGCAGAGAATGTTAAATAGAAATTGTGTGTTATGTTCTGTGGAGAGAGGAAACTGAAGAAATCTAGACTAAACAAAGCAGAGAATTACCAAAACAAGTTAACCAACAATTCCCATGGGGCATTTATGGTAATTCAGGCATATTTCTTTCCAATAGATAATACATACAGTAAAATCAGTAACATAATAGATATATTATCTTGATATACTGTTAACAATATATTCAAAGAAATAAAATTAACAAAAAATTACAGCATATGGATAATTTCTGAGAGCTGAGCTTAGAATAACCATATTATAATACCTCTCTAAGTACAAAATTAAGAGAAAAGTACGAAACCACAAGAGTAGAATATTTATTTCTTAAATATTGAAGGCCATGAGTTTAGCACGTGTTTGATTAATTATTGTTTTTCATAAGCATATGATATGATTTTCTAGCTACAAGACTTGAACATAAATCAAGTATAAAGACTTAATTCTAAGATTAAAAATAAGAGATACAAAAGAGTAGATAAATTCAGACTTAAATCAACAAGGGACTTCCCCTAGCTTTTAAGCTTTCAGTTGTTTTGGTTGCAACGAGTCTTGTAAAAAATCATATTTTTGAATAAAAATTCTTCCTCGCTTGAACAAGGTCAATATCGTTCACTGAAAGTATAAGCTACTGTCAACTTCACTGTGAGCCACGTTAAAGGATATCTTAGAGAGGCTGGAAGAGCTTCTTAGTGCTTCTTTTATGKCGGAAAGAGAAGAAAATAAGCAGCTCTTTCATTTCTGCCTTAATATTGTTTATGAATAGCATGAATAATCTTATAAAGCTTACATTCTCCAAAAACAAACAGACGAAATTCGTACAATAACGACGAGGGAACAGTAAACAGACTGAAAAGAAAGTAGTCGGCCATAAAAGGGTTAAAGAGACGGTGAGGAATAAGAAGAGTTGATAACAGATGGTTATGAAGGAAAGGACCAAGAATACATAGATAGAATTACAGGAATATTGTCGTGTTTGACACAATAACAACAATGCCAACAAAGAAAACGGCTAGGTCAATATCTCGACGAAAACAAGTCTTAAACCTCTCATTTTCTTACCTGTCTATTTGCACTCATGGTTGGAACCACCAACAGGATTATACMTTGGTAATAACGCTAGACGACGAGATGAACTCAACAGGAGAGAAGAGAAAATCCATAGACAAGCGCTTTACAACCTCATATCTTGGTCCAAATATGTCGGTCTTGACAGACTTAACTCGGAGAGGAAACACAGACGTTTGGACGCGTCAGATTCGAAATTTTTAAACAAAGGACACAAAAAGCTAATAAATTTGGTTCAAACTTGTGTTCGAAGCCCGATATTTGCAAGAATAACCGACAGAAAAGAGGCTAAAATGGCCATAAGGCAGTACATTAATTCATGCCTTTTGTTATGTGACGAACAAACCATGTCGGCTGATTTATTGGCACAAAGTTGACATGTGCGAAACCACCGCTTCTGATTGGTTGCTTATATGGCAAGGTAAATGATACCGTCAGGTCTAGTACTAGTCAACGTTCCCCTTTCTCTATGGAACAAAAAAAA